GGGGGCGCTGGGAAAGGGTCTGTGGAGAGGGGGCGCTGGCCTGTGGAGGGGGGTGAGGAGGAGGGGGCGCTGGCCTGCGGGGGGTGGTGAAGGAGAGGGGCACTGGGGAAAGGTATGTGGAGGGAGGATGAGGAAGAGGAGGAGGGGGTGCTGGGGAAGGGCCTGCAGGAATGGGGGTGTGGATGATGAGGGGGGCGTTGGTAAAACACCTTTTGGGCTGTGTGAGGAAAAGCGGGTGCTGGGGAAGGGCCTGTGGGGGGTGAGGATGAGGATGGGGGGGTGCTGGGGGAGGGAGTGTGGCTGGGACACTGGGGAAGGGTCTCCTCCTTGATACTTTTGAAAACTTTCAGATCTATAGTGGTAATATCAAACGGACCTTTCTCTTTCTGTCTTCCTTCAGAACAGCTGCTTGCTTTTAGTTGGGGATGTTCTGTGGCCGGGGTATTATTTAATATCAGGCATATGCTTGGTTGGATTGTGGGTGTAGGTACTGGCTATGGGCGGCAGCGCTGTGTGTGTGTTTAATCATTCCATGACACTTCCCCAAATGTTGGGTGTTAGCTCCTGGTGCCCTGGCCAAATTGCAACCTGGGTAATTCTATTCTGCCTCTCCTTCTTCCCCCTGTAGTTCAGTGGGAGAAATCACAATCACATAACTGCTGTTTGCTGTTCCACACTTACTGCTGTGTTACTTGCCAGCAGGGGGTGTGCTTCAGTGATGGATGAAATGATCTCTTACAGGTTGTGATCTTCCTTCATAAAAGATGTTGTGGAAATATCATGTTTATCATAATTTTTTTAATCCTTGTAGCAGAATAACTATTAGTGGTCGTCTTGTGGGGTTAGGACAGGGTGTGCAAACTACGGCCTGTGGGATTGCCACCGCCGTGGGCCCTGCACCCCTACTGGAAGCAGCCAGCACCAGGTCCCTGGGGGAGGGAGGGAGGCAGAGGGCTCTGTGCACTGCTCTTGCCTGTGGGTACATCTCTCTTCCCCCTCCGCAGCTCCCATTGGCCAGGAATGGGGAACCACGGCCAATGGGTGCTTTGGGGGAGGTATCCACAGGCAAGGGCAGCACACGGAGCTGCCCGTCCCCCCTCTTTCTCCCCCTCCCCCGAACTCCCAGGCTGCAAGGACGCAGGCAGCGCACCACTGCCACCCCAGAGCCGCTCCTGGCTGGAGCCCACACCCCAAACCCCTCCTGCACCCCGCAACCCAACCCCCTGCCCTGAGCCCCCTCCTGCACTATGCACCTCTCCTGTGCCCCAACCCCCTGCCCTGAGCCCCTTCCTGCACACTACACTCCCTCCCGCACCCCAACCCCCTGCCCCAGCCCTACATTCATGGCCCTGCATATATTTTCCCAGATGTGGCCCTTGGGCCAAAAAGTTTTCCCACCCCCTTGGTTAGGAGGTGCTTGTAGTGATCATTCAGGCATTTTAGTATGATTAATTTAAGTGCTCTGCTCCATCAGGTATATATCAGTGACTTTTATCTCTTCAGTACAGTAACTTGCAATGTTAGGCCCTGGTTCTAAAATGAGATCCACCCCTGCATGCGCACTGTACCCCATTGATTTCAATGGAGTGCTAGACAGGGGTCGACCCCTGCAAAACTTGTTGCTGGATTGGGACCTTAAGTTAGGCCAGTTACCATGATATTGCAAGTCTGACTTTCATCCTTCTAATATCCACAGGTGATATGTGCACATTAGATATAAAATCAAAGTATTTGTGACCTATCAGTGCCACATTAATGCCCTGAGGTTTTTGGTGCATCCTTCAGGGTTCCTGGAAATACTGGTTTCTGGTGGTGGTAGTTGTGGGAATGTTGTACCTATGTCAGTGACTGTCAGATGGTGAATGAAGGCTCTGTTTGAGGGTCCACAGTGCCCCTCTGGTCTGGAGACACACAATTTTCACACGTGTACTCACGCATTGGTGATAAACTAGCGCTTTGTTGTCACGGATACAAAGGTGGTGTTTGTTTTTGTTTTTATTGGTTTTGTTTTTTACAGAGGATAACTAACATGCCGTTAGTTTTATTGCTGTAAAATCTGAAGTGGGGACAAGGCACTTGTAGTTTTTATAACAAGGTAGCTAGGCAAAGTCAGCACTCTAGCTCCTCCACCGCCTGCTTATGCTTGATCTAACAGTAAAATTATGGTGCTTTGTCTCTAGCGTGTTCTTACAGCGGGATAGGTAATGCCTGTTAGTGATGATAAAACTTTTTTTTTTTTGTAATCAGTCTATACATAGACTGGATGCTAGTAGAGTCTAGCTTGTAATAGCATCTTAAGGTACATCTACACAGCCAAAAAAATAGGGCGGGGGGTACTCAATTTAGTAACAGTGAAGATCCAGCAGCTCAGGTTAGCAGCTCAAGTTCAGTACAGGCTCCCTTTAGGCTTTAACTTGAGCCCGTAACCCAACTTAAAAGCGGAGTTGCCATGTCTTTACTGCTATTTTAACCTGATTTTGCTAACCCAAGTTAAGAACACACCTTTTTTTGCAGTGTAGACATGCCCTTAGAGGCTGCAAAGATATTCCCACTGCTTATGAAAAGAGAGATGGTAAATAACTTTTTGGTTTAGTAAAATAAACCTCAAGATAGACTGGTCAGTTCAAATCACTTGTGAGTTGCCCACTGCATTTCATTGGAGGGTAGAAGACAAGTGACCATTCTCTCCTAGACTGCTGTTAGTTTGGTATTTAGAAGGTGCTGGCTGCCAGATGATTCCCTAGCTAGGCTCTTCAGCTTTCTCTGTGGTTCTTTCAGGTCTTGTTAATGCTTGGGATTAACCTAATTTTCAGCACTGGTATTGCTGCACCAGTGCAAAGTTCTGTGTTAGACAAGGAAAGCTGCAGTCTACCCCAGTTTCAAGCAGAGTTAAATTCCACCAGTGGAAATTGTGGTTTTATTCTTGTCTACACTAGGGGAAGCGTAGAAAAGGTTTCAGTCTCTGCAGGCTGCGGGGGCAGTGAAAATTACTCCTGAATGTTGAGATCTATGACGAAACATTACAGACTCTCAACTGAGTCACCCGCCAGACCAGATTGCCTCTCTTACCTCCTAGGATGGTTTGGGGTTGTGAAACTAGTTGACTTTTTTTTTTTTTTTGGTCAATGTTGAGTGTGAATCACGCATAGGATAAGCCTTGATGCACAGCCTGGTAAGGACGGATGAATTAAAATAATTGGGGCCATAAAATATTAGGATTTTGTTGATCTTCAAAGTGCATTGCAGGCATTAACTGTCTTAGCAGCACAATACACATACACGTCTGCCCCTGCGAGTGAGGAAACATTATTGCCATTTTACAGACGAGGAAGATGAGGCAGAGAGTCCAAGTGATTTGCTTGAGGCTATTAGACAAGATGTTGTCTGAGCTGGCATTAGAACTCGAGAGTTCCTGGCTCCAGACCAGAACTTCGGCTACACAGTGCTTCATTAAATACAGCAGAGTTACAATTGATCCTAACCATATGGAGGTGACCCTAGAAGGTTTCGAATTTTGGGAGATGGCGACACTAAGAGACAACTATGTGTAAAATGTCTGGCAATGCTGTTCTTGCCCCTCAGAAGCTGCTTGTACATGGTGGGATCTTTCCGTGTATGGTACAAACTCGATTAACCAACCCTCAATGATTTGCAACAGTGTCACGTTCCCCAACATCTGTTAATTGCCCTGAAAACTTCCTTGGTTTTCCAAGACATCAGTTATCCAGGCTCCCATGAAACTATGATAGAGTTGGTCCAAATCTGTGAAGGAAAAAAAAGGGGGGGGGAGTGGAGGAACATGACAAGCATACATATTGCTGTAGAAAAGAGAAAATGACAAAATAAAGGTCAGATGGGACGGAGCTCCAGGTGGCTCCTGTCATCTTCCTCTGCAGTGACGCTGCTCAGAGGAGAAAATGTTCTTTTCCACTGTAACCAAATGCTTATCGCTCTCAGGGGATGTTGGAAACTACTATTATGGCCAGGGCCATCCAATGAAACCCCACAGGATCCGAATGACCCACAACCTACTGCTGAACTACGGCCTTTACAGAAAAATGGAGATATATGTAAGTATAGGCCCAGACACAGAGAGAGAGAGAAGTAGGAAGCTTGTATGGAGGGGCTTGATCCACTTCCCGAGCTGTCACTGTATTGCAATGGCACAGGGTCTTGCAGACTCTCACGTGTTTTATTGGGAAACTTGTAGAGAAACAAGATGGAGGAAAAAGAGTTGGAAAATATTCCTGGGGAATAGGTCAGGGTGAAGGTAATTCAAAGAGATTGTTGCTTTTAAGATTTCCACTGGTCTTGTGTTTAGCAGGGTGTTCCTTGTTTTGTTCCAAAGTTCAGGTAATCTATATATAGGAAATGTTTTTCTCCCTATACCGTGACTGTTTCGTATGGCTAGGCATATAATAAAAAGCCCCAGTCTCCTATAATAACATTCCTCTTCCCCTTAGAACAGGGGTGGGCAAACTTTTTGGGCCGAGGGCCACATCTGGGTGGGGAAATTGTATGCAGGGCCAGGGCAGGGGGTTGGAGTGCGGAAGGGGGTGCGGTGTGCTGGAAGGGGCTCAGGACAAGGGATTGGGGCAGAGGAGGGGTGCGGGATGTATGAGGGGGTTCAGGGCAGGAGTGCAGGAGGGGTGCGGACTGTGGGAGGGGGCTCAGGGCAGGGAGTTGGGGTGCGAGGTGCAGGCAGAGGGCTTAGGGCAGGGATTTGTGGGGCAGAGTGCAGGCGGGGGATCGTGCTCTGGCCCGGCGCCACTTACCTAAAGCGGCTCCGGGGTGGCAGCGGTGCACACGCTGCACCACTCCAGGAAGCGCTGCGGCTCCTGGGGGGTACGGTGGAGCGGAGGGTTCCATGTGCGCTGCCCTTGCTGCGCCTTCAGGTACCTCCTTCGAAGCTCCCATTGGCCGTGGTTCCCCGTTCCCAGCCAATGGGAGCTGCGGGGGGCAGTGCCTGGAGGCAAGGGCAACGCACGGAGCCCTCTGCCCCCATGCCCGGGGGCCGCAGGGCTCGCGGTGTCACGGGGCGATCCCGCGGGCCGGATCCAAAGCCATGAGCGACCGGATCTGACCCGCAGGCCGTAGTTTGCCCACCCCGCCTTAGAAAGTAGACTTATTTTTGCTTTAATAGCACTGGCTTTAGCTGTTGCTATTCTTGAGAGTAGGCAGGCATTGGAGTAGGAGAAGGAATATATGTCAAATAAACCTTGTTTTGTTCTCTCCTTGCAGCGCCCCCACAAAGCAAATGCAGAAGAAATGACCAAGTATCATAGTGATGACTACATTAAATTTCTGAGATCTATTCGCCCTGATAACATGTCTGAGTACAGCAAGCAGATGCAGAGATGTAAGCCATGCGTATGGTATTGTAGCTTCTAGCCTGAATAGCTGTAGTCCTGGGAACCCTGGTTAGCTCTTAGAGCTCATTGTCAAAAGAGCAGGGAGAATCTTATGAAACTTGTCTCTTTTTATTATTATTTTCATGTTAACCTAACCACTTAGATTATTTTTTTGCCAGAGTTCCACACTGTTTTCCTCCATTGTGGTTCTGTCCCTAACTCCTTTGATGTTGAGATTTGGTGGAAGCTCTTTCATCTTCTTTTCTAGCTTATAAACGGAACAGTGTGGACATACCTGTACAACAGATATTCTGCATAAGCAACTTGTAACCTAAGGTTCTGGAGTTGTTAATAATGGTGACGTTCTGGGGACCAACTTTCCCAGATATCGGTAGGATGGGTTTTTTGAAGCAGGAGTACTGTTGTTGGTCACAGCATGGTAGATATGCAGAGAGCCGGTCTTTATTTTAGAATCTGTAGATCTATGTAATATTTTCATAATCTGGGAATACTAGTGTCACTATTTCCTATTGTAATAGGAGGTATATTGTTGGTAACTGTCTTCCTTTTGGGGATATTTCTAGAGATCTGTGGAATTCATGTCCTTACCAGTATAAAATATTCTGGGATTTTTATCAGTCAGCATCAAGAAATCTGGCTGCTTAAATTGTGGCTTCACAATTCGTTCTATTCTGACTAAGATTTAGATCCTGCAAGCCCTGAATTCAAATTGACTTCAGCTGAAGTTCTGTGCACTGAAGGCTTTGGGGACCAGGCCCTCAATGCTGAAAGTGGTGTTAGTTTCAGTTCTGATGTCACACCTGACAGGCAACTTCATCTGTATTATGCAGGATGTTGGACTAAATGACTAAAGTTCTTTCTGGCCTTAGAATATCCTTAGAGGCATGGATTTTTTTTTCTCTCCATGTGGAAAAATCTTTTGCAGCTTTCATGTTATAAAATCTTAAATACCTTTTCAGACTTTCTGCAGCTCTGTGCTAACATTTTCCAGCAATTAATAGGTAATGAACTATAGTTTTCTGGCTGATTTGGACAAATAAAATGGCTAGGAGTTCACTAAAACAGTATATTGGTTGTGTGCACTCTCTTCATTCCTGAAATCTGTAGTATTGTTGGCCATGGGGCTTATTTTTATGAAGTGTATATGTAATCTCCTGTTAACTCTTGAAAGAGTTAGTCTAGAGAGTGAATTATATGCACTTTTAAACTATTGTGAGCCAAAATGCACACTGTATTTAGGCACCTGAGTGTAACGACTAAAGGAATGAGTAATATCTGTAATCTGTACCAAAGTACTTCCTGGGGTAAATAATATGCCTTAACATACTAAAGTACATATTTACACAAGCCTAACTGCTTACCACTGAGACTGGAATGGCTCATAAACACCCACACTGGTCTCCCTCTGGTCAGCTTGGCATTTTCTATACTGTACTTCAAGCAAGGGTTTTACTTTAAGGAAATTAAATGTGAAATTTTTTTAGTATGTATGGAGGTGAGACAAAAGCCAATTCACAATTCAGTCCAATGACCCCTCCTTGACAGGGGTTGCAAAATATATCCTCCACCACCTAGCCAGAGGACTAATCCTATGAGCCAGAAATAGAGATTAAAGATGGAGGTAATGGGGCCCACCACCCAAGTGCAAGGACAGTGCCTGGTGAGGAGCTTAGCCTCCTTTCTGCTCTTAGCTGTTGAGAAAGGAGTGGGTGCTGGGATTTCCACAGGGGTGCTATCATGGGGTCTCCCATCTTTGATATGAGTGGCCTAATGGGTAGGGCACTGGACTGGGATACCTGTGTTCTATTCCTGGCTCTGCCACTGGCTTGCTGGGTGACCGTAGGCAAGTCACTTTGCCACTCCATGCCTCAGTTTTCCCATCTATACAATGGAAATAATGATACTGACCCCCTTTGTAGAGTGCTTTGAGGTCTGTTGAGGAAAAATGCCATATAAGAGCTAGGTAGTATTATATTGGGCTCTGACTAGTGGGCATATCATACATATGATGCTCCTGACCCTGCTCTAGCTGTTGGAAATGAGAGAACTTTTTCTCTTCCCTGTCCAGAGCCACATATTGCTGTAAAAGGCTTGATATCCTGGCTGCTTTGAAGGGCTTGGTGGGAAGAGGTCTCCGTATGAATGAATAGCTCCACCATTTGCTTCTGCTTATACAGAGGGCCATATCTTTGCCAAGCAGAAGCAGTCACACTATTAAAAATTGTCCGTTTTGCTGCTGCCCACAAGGTTCTGAATGGTAGCAGTGATACTAAACGGTCTCTTTAATCTCAGTCTATCGATAGATATTCTGTCTGTCTGAAGACTCAAGAAGATTATATTGCAGCCATAAGGGCTAGAAATTTAATTTGTTGTAATGGGAAGCTTACATTCTGCAGCAACAGACCTCCCCACTTGCTGGGAATAGATTCCCACACATCTCTGATAAGGGAACTATTCAACTATTGCTAATTACCATGCCCCACTGGAACACTTGTACAAATTGGAACATTTCGTTTTGACTCTCCTGATTCTTACAGTCCATTAGAAACGAGTTCCATTTAAATCTGGAGACTGCTTAAACTTGCTCATTCAACTGTACTGTCTCCATGATTTTTCACTAGCCTTTTTGGAGGCGAAGAATTGAATGAAAGCAGCATTTCACATGCTGGGAAGATTCATGCGAGATGAGTCCTGCCTAAGTACAAAGGGAAAAGTTCCGCTCAACTTCATTACAACATACAGATTTTTGTAAAAACAGGTTTTGCAAAACATAGGCCCTATGAAACTTTTTAAAAATAATAAAAAGAACAGGAGTACTTGTGGCACCTTAGAGACTAACAAATTTATTAGAGCATCCGAAGAAGT